ACATTCTGAATCAGAAACTACCCTCGCATTAGCCGTATCTTTTACTGTTTCGGCCCTAGAGGTGGATATATTGAAAACAATGGCAAAAAGTCAAGTTATAAGACTCTTTGACAAACAATATACAATCTAAAAACTGCGTGGGTTAATTTTTTTTTTTAATTTTTAAGCACAGCAGAAGGGTGGGGTGTATTCGCGGTGTTGCCCTGGTAAAGTCTTGTCTCATGTCCAAAGAGCAAATCTTCAGGGCCGCAAGCCATCCCGAAGGTCTTTGTTTACTCAAATATGCAAAGTGAATTCTAGGTCGGCTCGGAGGCCCGACCAAACGCCACCAGCAGGCCAAGCTAGTCCCGTACCCATCCAAAAATGACATGCCCTCCAAGTGTTTTTATAAGTTACGGAAAGGTTTAACGATTACCCTAGCTTCTGAAGTCTAAAGCGTTCAGTAATAATTGGGAAAAATGACTCAAGTAGGGTAGGTGATACAGTTATTGGACAGGGTACCGTTTTTGGACACACCGCACTGCGATCGCCACTGCGGACAAACGGCGCGACGCAGTCAAACCAACCTTAACGCATTCGTTGGGTGGATTCTCGAATTATCGTCTACCGTTGCCGCCGCTCCGGCATCCTCATTAAAAAGTCACATCTCTGACGGCTAGCTGAGCAGACTTTTGAGCCACTCAGTGCGCTTCGTTGTGAATGAGGATGCCAGACGCATGCGTCGCGCCGTTTGTCTACAGCAGCGCTCGCAGTGCGATGTGTCCAATAACAGTACACTGTCCAATAACAGTATCCTACCCTTCCTGAAATCTGGCTCATCGAAAATGGAGCCATCTTTTAAAATCAAATGACAATTGAGTTTACTGTCGCTGGTAAATCCGTTTGGCTGTAAGTGTGCACGCCACACCGAACTGAAACCGCCTCATTGAAGGAGACACATCTCTGCAAAATCGCATTTTACAGACCGACCGGGCCGCGGTCGGTGGTCGGGGTGGGTACCGACCAGCTGTACGATGAGAGGTAAGAAGAGGAGCTCCTGGCCAGTTTACCCTTCTCACCCCTCACCTTGCAGACGGTCAGTACCGACCGTGTGGCCCGGTCGGCTCGGTCGGTCAAAAAAGGCGATTTTGCAGTGCTCTAGATGGAGGAGACCATGTTCTCGAAGGGGATCACATCCCTCCTCTGGGTCAAATTGTAGTTTTATTGCCAAGACGAGGGTATTTCTTTTATGTCACTGCAATTGGTAGTGTTCTCATAAATTTAAAAAAAATCCCGAGCCTTTGCTTTTTACAGTATTTAACAGGAGGTGTCAGTGGCATTGAAAAATTCTAAACAATTAACTGGAAAATTTGCGGCCCCACGAGTTTGGGAAAGTAAAAATCCAAACAGTAAGCAAACATGATTTCCCAAACGCTTTCGAAATTGAAAGGACACCAACTTCGGATGTTCACGATTCGCGAAGGAAATACCATTGATATGTTGACGCGTCCTAACCACAAGATCATATCGGCGGCGCTCTGAATAAACAAGATGTTTTCTGCAGCGCGCCAAACCACAGACCGAAATCCGCGCCTGGATGCTGCTTGTTGCTGCTCATTCGGAGCTGCTGCCCGCTCGCTCGTCGAGTCTCGATCACCAAACGGGCCCCGTTCGCTGGGCCGGCGTGGCGTAGAGCCCCGCAAAGAGCGAGCTATGCGAGCTAACGCCAATGCCGGACTGTGACCGGCAGATTTAGCTCGTCTCGTCTCGTCTCGCGCTAGCTCGCGAGCTGGCGGCGGGCGGCTGCGGCCGGGCTTCGACTCCCGCCAGAAGCATTTAATTTTCTCGACTTTCAGATTACCAAACTCAATTTTTTTTTGCTGAGAATGTGATTTTGAGGCCCAAATGCAATTTCTCACTCAATTTGGTACAATTTTGGTGCCAAAAAATAGTGCGATAGCGGGATTCGAAGCTATGACCAGCCGATCGTCGGTGCTAGTCGGTGCCGAGCTGTTCGGCGAAGGTTCGGCTACTCTTCGGATGTGATCTGCTGTCGTCCGCGTGTGAGCTGTCGCCTGTTCGCGCCAACCGGCCTCCGGAGCGTTGCTCGCGTAGCTCGCTCGTTGCGGGGCTCTAGCGTGGCGGCGGGTAGCGCGTAGGCGCAGTCAGCCCAGCGCCACGCGCCACGCCACGACCTCAGGTGACCGGCAGGCGAAGCTCGGCCACTCAAACGGGTCCCGTTCGCTCGGGTTCGTTCGGCAAGGTTCGGTACATCGCCATCCGCTGCCTCGGGTTTCTCGCTCTGTCTTTCTCACACACCGACTGCGCTCGGCGCGCGCTCAGAGTGGGACCCGTTCGGGCAAGGATTCCGGCCTCTGCGCCAAACACACATAAGTCTATCTGCAACGCTCCGAATACACAAAAGCCTGTTTGCAAAACGAGGTTGGGTGCAGCTTTTCACCTCTGTGTCGTTTGCAAGTAACTGGAAGACATTCAGTCCAACCAATATCTGCGCACTGTGAGAATAGTTAAGGTCCAATGCTTAATTATTGACTGCAACAAGTTAACCCTTAAAGGCCCTTGTAGTTTATAAAATACATAGTGGAAAATCGCAGACATAACCGGGATGATGAGACATTTTTCGGGTTTCGAGGGTTGGTTTTCGTAGAGGTGGTTTCGGGGAATTGATCTAAGGCCCTACCGACGTTCTGAGACCACTGTTGCCAAAAGTATCAGCCTTCAAAGTCAAAAAAGCAAATCGTGAAATTGAGCGTTGTGTGTGACCCAAGTAAGACAAGACCCATTTGTCGGATCACTTCGAAAAAATTATTCCGAGGTGCGCTAATGCTTACTAAAGCCGACTACTTGCGCGGTAAAGGTCCAACTCAGGCTCGTTGGAAAACGAGATAAACTGTGTCGTTAATAAGCGACAAGGGCCTTAAGGGTATAGAGAATTTAACGATCCCTAATATGCTGACTTTTTGATCAAAATTGGTGATATTGTGTGGGTCTCGTTTTAAATGTAAGGAAAATGAAAAAGAATAATCAGATTTTCGCCCTTGGGACCCGGGAAATTCAGATAACCGTTCAGAGGGTCGCCTGCTCCAATCGGCTCCGGGCCCGTTTTCGGCGGCCTGTGTTCGACAAGTTTGGGTCGGAAAATAATTTTGTTTTCGTGGAATGGGTTTATTGACCAGATGTTCGCCCGCTCTCAACTGGCAAAAGTCGTGGCTAATTACGTCGGCGATAGGGGACCAAAAGTCTCGTTTTTAAACGCCACATGCTTTTTACGCTTTTCCTTACTTTTGTAAGCCTGTGCGATGATCGAAATTCATCGTAATCGGTCGATGATCATAATCATCGCGATTGTTGTCGATGCCGATGCGTCTGCATCGACAATCGATTCACCATCGGATTAATCGGTTTGATTCGATTAATCGGTTAGGTCCGATTAATCGGATTATTCCAATTAATCGATTAAATCCGATATTTATAGTGAAATATAAGAAATTGGCCTGTTTAATTCATTAAACTGCATTAAACTATATTATTGAGTACCTAGTTATTCAAAAATTGCGTAAAAATGCCTTTAATCTTGGCATTAGCCACTCCGGTAATCGGATGGCAATCGGTCATCGACAATCTTCGAATAATCGATTCAAAAATCGGTCACCGTTTAAGTCCAAGTCGATGATCGATGTCAGTCATCGGAATCGAAATGTCAAAATTCATCGTCGATGGGCAAAAAAGTCGATGACGATTTCGATTAATCGATTAATCGCACAGGCCTACTTTTGGACCCCTATTGCTGACGCAATATGAAAGTGAAGACTTTTTCCAGTTGAGAGCGAGCAACCACCTGGTCAGGAAACCCATTCCATGAAAAAAACAAAAATCTGACCCAAACTTTTCGCACAGAGGCTACCGAAAACGAAACCAGAGTCGATTGGAGGAGGCGTTGCTTTACACTGTTCTTCTTATTTTCATGGACCCGCCCGTGTTTGTAGAGAGAGATAGAGTGAGGGTCGTGTTTTTTTTTTGAAAGGGGCCTGTGAATTATAAGTCTTAACTTTAAACTCTTCTTTTTGTACACAACCGTTAAGCCCCTGAACGTTCAGTCTCAAACGTTCATTATTTCATGGACATTCACGACCCTCTCACTCTGTCTATCTTTCACTACAAACGCGGGGTGCACATGGCGGAAAACGTATTTGCGGCGTTTGAGCCGGCGTAGCCCCAGTTTAAATGATGCTACACTCAAAACAAGGGCATTATTAGTTACAGTAGACCATAGGCATTCAAAAACTTACCTCGTGAGATTCCTCAGCACATTGGTTTCAGAAGAGATAGCTTCGCCAGCCAGCGCGGCGCACATTTTGACGTGCATAGTACCTACTCTATTTTGGCAATACTTCATGATTTAGGTAGTAAATAGGAAGAATTTCAAGAAAAACATTTTTTTTATCGCAGCTTCCGGTCGCTTCTGGTCGCCTCTAAGGATTCAGTAGGACGATTGGATACAGAGTAATAAGCACACTGTTAGAAATCCTGCGGTAAGTCATCCGTAACACCGCACAACTAGAACCACACCTAATGGGCATGGGCAAACCCACAGGTCTTTTCTGTTTAATAATCTGACCGGCTCAGTCTGTGGCTCGTTTTTGGTCCAAGGCGTCTCTGTTCGTTCTTATCTATCGCTGATGAACCGCCGCGCTCTAGCAACCAAGTGCTGCGCTGGAGGATCACACCAATGTGTATCTTCTTGCGCCCGCCCGTGTGGAGATATAATATTTTTGAAGGTATGGGTCAAGAGTTTAGACCACCGAAGAACCATCAGTGCCAAAAGGTGCTTCCAGCTAAAGAGCCTCCATTTCCCGGAGAACAGAAGACCATTACCGTTTAATTTCTGAACTATGTCTCCAGCGAAACATTATAAGCACCATCCCAGTTGAACCGTGCTAGCGCCACTGCTGCTTTTTTGTTATTAACTTTGGATCACATTATTTTTCTGTGATAGCAGGGCACAGGATTCTGTGATTGTGAAAGCGCAGAACTTTGGTGTGGTAGTCCCGTAGTTTATCACAGGACTGTGCACTGACATACTGTGGTAGTTCTCTTTGCTTTGCACAGGCATGCTGTGTAATTAATTGACGCACTTTATTTTCATGTGAAAAGCCCGTGCTATTTTCTGACGGTGCACTTCTTTAGAGGTATCTCGAAACCCGCGTTCTCGAGATTGGCTTTTGTTTATTCGGAAGGCTCCAGATATGGTGGATTAGTCTCCGTTTAGGGCTGTGATAGGCTGTAAACCTTTGAGGCAAGCTGCCTCACTGAGGATTCCTCACCGTAAGGGTGAGGCTTCTCGACTCACGGGACTAAATTGACCAATAACAACTTGTTTATTCGGAGCGCTACAGATAGGATCTTGTAGTTGGGACGCGTCGATTTAGTCATTATAAGTAATACTTCAGTGATTATTAAGTGATATTTACTGTTTGATTGTTTTCACAGTATATGGAATTTCTGATTCGGAGAACATAGGTGCCCCTATCGCTGGAGAGTTCCAAATGTTTTGTAAAATTTTCATGAACTTTTGAGCAATATCTGTAAATTTTTTACAAAACGGTCATTTTGCTGTTATTAAACTTAGTTTTTTCTGCAAAATGGTACGAAACTGTTTGAGAAATATTCCAAATCCGGAAAATGGGGGTGGGGTGGAAATTTCGAACTTTATTTTAAGTGCAGCCTCTTGAAAAGTTCTATATACTCGAGTATTGTGTCTCACCTGCCATTATGCTTTGAGCGTAGTGCAATACTTGACGATTTGAGGCCCCGGCAGGAAAGTGACTGACCATTAATTCTAACAGTCTCTGAAAAACATAAAGAAACATCATGAGTACCAGGGTTGTTAACGTTACTTTGAAAATGTATCGCGATACCGTTACCTCGTTACTCTACCCTCGGTAACGCGTTACCGATACCGTTACAGCCTTCGGAGAATTGTAACGCGTTACGTTACTGGTAACGTCGTTACTTCGTTACTCGATACATTAAA